CAACACAAGTAACAACATACCAGTTAACAACACAAGTAACAACATACCAGTTAACAAAACAAGTAACAACATATCAGTAAACAAAACAAGTAACAATATATCAGTTAACAACACAAGTAACAACATATCAGTTATCAACACAAGTAACAACATACCAGTTAACAACACAAGTAACAATATACCAGTTATCAACACAAGTAACAATATACCAGTTATCAACACAAGTAACAATATACCAGTTAACAAAACAAGTGACAATATATCAGTTAACAAAACAAGTACACAACATATCAGTTAACAAAACAAGTAACAATATATCAGTTAACAACACAAGTAACAACATACCAGTTAACAACACAAGTAACAACATATCAGTTAACAAAACAAGTAACAACATACCAGTTAACAAAACATGTAACAGCACGACAGTTAACAAACTAGTAACAACATATTAGTTAACAAACTAGCAATAACAATACCTTTACAAAGTACTTAAAACATATCCACTTATATATAACTAATAACAATTGACTTAAAAACTAGGTACACCTCTGTATATCATAAAAGTTAATTGTAAATAAAGAAATATCAGTTAAAATAATAGTAACAACTTATCAGTAAAGACAACATGTAAACAAAATATCCGTTAACAAACTATAAACATCACATCATTTAACAAACCATAAACATCACATCATTTAACAAACTAGTAACATCACATCATTTAACAAACTAGTAACAACTTATCTTTTAACAAACTATAAACATTACATCATTTAACAAACTAGTAACATCACATCATTTAACAAACTATAAACATCACATCATTTAACAACTATAAACATCACATCATTTAACAAACAAGTAACAACACATCATTTAACAAACTATAAACATCACATCATTTAACAAACTATAAACATCACATCATTGTACAAACTATAAACAGGAATTCATTTAACAAACTATAAACATCACATCATTTAACAAACTAGTAACAACTTATCATTTAACAAACTATAAACATCACCTCATTTAACAAACTAGAAACAACACATCATTTAACAAACTATAAACAGCACATCAGTTAACAAACTATTAACATCACATCATTTAACAAACTAGTAACAACACATCATTAAACAAACTAGTAACAACTTATCATTTAACAAACTATAAACATCACATCATTTAACAAGCTAGTAACAACACATCATTTAACAAACTATAAACAGCACATCAGTTCACAAACTATTAACATCACATCATTTAACAAACTAGTAACAACACATCATTAAACAAACTAGTAGCAACTTATCATTTAACAAACTATAAACATCACATCATTTAACTAACTATAAACATCACATCATTTAACAAACTAAAAACATCACATCATTTAACAAACTAGTAACAACTTATCATTTAACAAACTAGTAACAACAGATCAGTTAAATACCAGTTAAATAACAGATTAGATAACAAACTTTTAACATCAAGTCAGTTAATGATATAATATCGCTTAAGTTTGAGGAAAGGCCACTTTTTATTTACAATGAGATGAAAGACATTGAGAGTCGACAACAAGTCATACATGTAATTTTATGATTATCTATGTATGAGTGGAGGCGGGGCTTCAACTTATATAACATGTCAATATTGGCTCACCGGGGATAATTGTACGAAAGTACAGCTGCTAATTGGCTGAATATTCATACAAAAAGAAAGGCACTTTACTAACTACCAGACAAGGTGGAAAACACACACAGACAAGTATGGTAAGTAAATAGGCTAGGTTTGACACAGTAAATAGGGACATTGGCCTGTTGTCGGTAAACTTAATCGATTCCATCGAAATCGCGACCACATACCTATCGGGATTTAGGAGGAAATTCTTTGCATACAAGGAGGTATTTAACATGTTAAGTTGTGTGATATAGAACCAGCTATGTTTAAACATGTTAAGTTGTGTTATAGAACTAGCTATGTTTAAACATGTTAAGTTGTGTGATATAGAACTAGCTTTGTTTAAACATGTCAAGTTGTGTGATATAGAACTAGCTATGTTTAAACATGTTAAGTTGTGTGATATAGGACTAGCTATGTTTAAACATGTTAAGTTGTGTGATATAGAACTAGCTTTGTTTAAACATGTTAATTTGTGTGATATAGAACTAGCTATGTTTAAACATGTTAAGTTGTGTGTTATAGAACTAACTCTGTTTAAACATGTTAAGTCGTGTGATATAGAACTAGCTATGTTTAAACATGTTAAGTTGTGTGATATAGAACTAGCTATGTTTCATACACATATCATATTGCTTGTCCTATGTAATTGACTGAAAGTATTTTTGGCATCTGTCGTAAACATAGGTTCATATATACAAATGTATGATGGGTACACGTGTTTTAACATATGCATTACCTTGGTAATGTACCCATTATAAGCAATATGACAATACAGGGAACGATATGTAGAACAATAACACGTGTTCCCTGTCTATTTTCAGGCTGTAGGCATTATTTCCGTGCTTTGTTATATCACAGTTTGTATGACTTTTATACGTGTTCCCTGTCTATTTTCAGGCTGAAGGCATTATTTCCGTGCTTTGTTGTATCACAGTTTGTATGACTATTATACGTGTTCCCTGTCTATTTTCAGGCTGTAGGCATTATTTCCGTGCTTTGTTGTATCACAGTTTGTATGACTTTTATACGTGTTCCCTGTCTATTATCAGGCTGTAGGCATTATTTCCGTGCTTTGTGTCACAGTTTGTATGACTATTATACGTGTTCCCTGTCTATTTTCAGACTGTAGGCATTATTTTCGTGCTATGTGTCACAGTTTGTATGACTATTACACGTGTTCGCCGTCTATTTTCAGGCTGTAGGCATTATTTTCGTGCTATGTGTCACAGTTTGTATGACTATTATACGTGTTCCCTGTCTATTTTCAGGCTGTAAGCATTATTTCCGTGCTATGTGTCACAGTTTGTATGACCATTACACATGTTCCCTGTCTATTTTCAGGCTGTAAGCATTATTTCCGTGCTATGTGTCACAGTATGCATTTCCCATATTTCCTCTGTCGTGTCCTTCGACCAACTGTCCGATCTACAGATAGCCACACATCCCAAATACTTGTACACGTGCGGTGATAAAGGATTGTCGCTCGGGAAGGTCACCAAGCAACAAGAGGAGCAGAACATCATCTCCCTTATTGATTGTTTAGGCAACGGTGGAATAAAAAAAATGGCCCCAACAATGAAACAGGAAAAGGTGAATCAATTCAACGAAGTGTTACGGCAGATGAAGACAGGTCATTGGAGACTGAAACGGCAAGTATCTAACGAAGCACAGCCTCGAAGAGAAGTGAGAATGCTTTCACCGGCGGAATGGCATATTCTTATAACGCGTTTTAATGGATTGAGGGAGAGTGGAGTAAGTAAAAGATGATAATTTTACTTCCATATACAATGTGCAACACACTCCACCCACGAAAGCACGCATGCACGAACCAACAGATACTTACGATGTTTTTTGCATAATTAATTTTTATGTTCGTTATTAAATAGTACAATTTAAAATCTATAAAATTAATTTAAGAAAAATCACTTTCTTTAAAACATTTTATTCAAATGTTCAAGAATTCTTCGATGGTTCGCTATTCACAGAAAATCAAATGTTTTTTTTTTTTTATTAATTGAACAGTTCTACAGGACTATCTTGGAATTCTTCTCGGACGAGAGCATTGCTGGGACTAATGGTGGACCTGCTTTCCTTGGCTGGCATCGCGTCATTTTATTGTGGTAACTATCACACATTCTTTACAGATAACAGCCTTTCCACAACACACCTATCATTTCACAAATTGCCATGTATATTGTGTGCTGATAACATGCGTAGCAATATATACGCCGAATTTGAAACACACCTAGCTTAACCACCGTGAGGAGACAAAATATAATTAATAAACGTTTCCTATTTTTTTTTATATAAATACATGATTCATTATGAAAAGTGTACGAAAATACTTTTATTACTTAAAGTATTGTTTAAAGCAAAATGAAAGATAACGAAACTTGCTTAACCGTTTTTTACAGAAAGGTAACGAGACTTGGTTAACTGTTTATACAGAAAGATAACGAAACTTGGTTAACTGTTTATACCGAAAGATAACGAGACTTGGTTAACTGTTTATACAGAAAGGTAACGAGACTTGGTTAACTGTTTATACAAAAAGATAACGAGACTTGGTTAACTGTTTATACAGAAAGATAACGAGACTTGGTTAACTGTTTATACAGAAAGATAACGAGACTTGGTTAACTGTTTATACAGAAAGATAACGAGACTTGGTTAACTGTTTATACAGAAAGATAACGAGACTTGGTTAACTGTTTATACAGAAAGATAACGAGACTTGGTTAACTGTTTATACAGAAAGATAACGAGACTTGGTTAACTGATTTTACAGAAAGATAACGAGACTTGGTTAACTGTTTATACAGAAAGATAACGAGACTTGGTTAACTGTTTATACAGAAAGATAACGAGACTTGGTTAACTGTTTATACAGAAAGATAACGAGACTTGGTTAACTGTTTATACAGAAAGATAACGAGACTTGGTTAACTGTTTATACAGAAAGATAACGAGACTTGGTTAACTGTTTATACAGAAAGATAACGAGACTTGGTTAACTGTTTATACAGAAAGATAACGAGACTTGGTTAACTGTTTATACAGAAAGATAACGAGACTTGGTTAACTGTTTATACAGAAAGATAACGAGACTTGGTTAACTGTTTATACAGAAAGATAACGAGACTTGGTTAACTGTTTATACAGAAAGATAACGAGACTTGGTTAACTGTTTATACAGAAAGATAACGAGACTTGGTTAACTGTTTATACAGAAAGATAACGAGACTTGGTTAACTGTTTATACAGAAAGATAACGAGACTTGGTTAACTGTTTATACAGAAAGATAACGAGACTTGGTTAACTGTTTATACAGAAAGATAACGAGACTTGGTTAACTGTTTATACAGAAAGATAACGAGACTTGGTTAACTGTTTATACAGAAAGATAACGAGACTTGGTTAACTGTTTATACAGAAAGATAACGAGACTTGGTTAACTGTTTATACAGAAAGATAACGAGACTTGGTTAACTGTTTATACAGAAAGATAACGAGACTTGGTTAACTGTTTATACAGAAAGATATCGAGACTTTGGTCACTGTTAACACTGAAAGATAACGATACTTGATTCAATGATTATACAGAAAGAGAACGAGACTTGGTCAACTGCTTATACAGAAAGAGAACGAGACTTTGTGAACTGTTTATACAGAGAGATAACAAGACTTGGTTATCTGTTCATACAGATTATAATGATACTTGGTATTTACTGTTTTTACAGGAAGAGAACGGGACTTTGTAAACTGTGTATAAAGAAAGAGAACGAGACTTTGTAAACTATTTATACAGAGAGATAGCGAGACTTGGTTAACTGTTTATACAGAAAGAGAACGAGATTTGGTTAACTGTTGATACAGAATTTAACGAGACTTTGGTTTATTGTTGGTACGGAAAGCTATTTAACATTCCTATAGAAAGATAGCAACTTAACTAGGATCTACGTTGATGTTACATATAATTTAATCTTTACTTCAAAACAATAACATTTTCTCATTGTTTTATGTTTCTAGGTTGGAGTTTTATCTCCATGTTCCCATTCCGTACTGGGACTGTTCTTTAGATTTCCACATAACAAACCCGACCAAGTCCATACTATGGACAAAAGAGCTGTTCGGAAATGGAGAGGGAACTGTTAGAATAGGTCCATTCATGAATTTTACTGAGCCGGATGGAACTCCCATAAGGAGACGTATTGGACAGGGGGGTTCTCTAATTGCCCGGGAAAACATCGACTCGTTGTTGAGTAGGAAAAGCAACCGAGAGCTGGTATACACTACTAGCATAGCCCTGGAGGAGTACCACAATGGTGTACAGGCCTGGGTGGGAGGCAGCATGGGAGAACTGCTGACGGCTCCCGCTGACCCTATCTACTTCTTCCATCAGTGTTTCATAGATAAATTATGGGAGGATATTCGTCAAAACATGCAAAACGCTGAAAGTTACCCGTACGATCCAACCATTACTGATGCTCTACAGAACCCGGAAAAGATTCTGGTAAAGTTCCCGTTTGACAGTCGATATCCTTTGGTGAACAGTGACGCCTACACTAAACACGTGTCTGTACGTGCGCATTATGACAACTCCCCTGCCCAGGCCACACAGCCCTGGCAGTGTCACAACCCCGCGTGGAAACACAAACGTGTGCTTGCGTGGGACCCTGACCGACAGTACTGTGTCACTGCACAAGGCACTGAGCAAGATTTCCATGTCATTCCAGATTTTCAAACAAGTGCCAAAATAGTCGCATCCACATTAAATTCACCAATGAATTTCCCGATTGGCTCACCTCTGTATTCACCATTACCAAAGACGCCGAAAATTAAATATGTAGCACCGTTAAAAGACATGCGGACCATATATCGTGCTAGCGAGTCTATGAAAAAGATGAAAGAAGCTCCAAAGATGATTTCTACTTTATTGGGAGCACTTTCAGATCGGCTTCAACCTACTGAAGCCAATCAGAACAGCGCTATGGCATCAGACCCTTTCCCCATCCCACAACAGTCAACTATCAACATTAACAATAATGCAGGCCAGACTCCGCCAATGATAGATAACCAGGCCATGCCCTTTGGACTAAGTTCTCGGGTGAAGACGTTTCAGTCTCCTGTACATCAACAGAGATTTCACTCACCTATGTATACATCGCTCGCCGCCTCCCCTCCACAATCTACATCAGACTTATCAAGTCTGGTTTTCAAACTTTTTCAATCTCCAACATCGGTTCAGAGACAAACTCCGGCTTCTGCACCTATTATAAACTCCAAATCCTACAAGACATTTATACCAACAAATCAGGTGTCAAGAACCATCGGTGTGTTAGAATCTTTACTCGCTCGTCTTCGATCCATGCCCCATTAACCTTCTCAAATGACTCATAAAGTCGCATCGCAGGGAAAGTGTTACTAATGGGTTCAGGTTAAGTTCAACTTTATAAATGCTTATATTGAGAAAAGATGAAGCAAATACATATACCTGTTCAGATACATTGCAATCAGTTTGTCATTTACATTTAAACGATTTGTTTACATATAAAATGCTTATTTTGCAAACTTGTCCTAGTGATGAACCTATAATATCAAAATAAGTAGGCCAAGTGTAAGTCCCGCAGTCCACAGTGTTGAGATGTACACGACCGTCCAGTTGGTGCTAATATAACAATATATATATAGATAACAACATTCAAAGATTAAATGATATTTGTGTGGATTTTGTCACAGGACAGGTGGTTGAGCCAGTCCCTACCTACCTGGCCCTATAATATCAGAGCAAGTTATCTTAACATGACGCATCACATCTGTCAGATGTGGTGATGATCACATGATTTCTAAACTATTATCACAGTATAAGGGGATTAAATAATGAAAAGGATGATGAAAAATTCTCTTTTAAATAAAAGTAAAGTGAAAGTACAAAATATTAACAAATAACAAATACAGTTGTTGGATTGCACAACGTAACACCATGCGTGCACGAGGTGCGAACGATACAAATCGGGAAGGCTATTGCCTGCGCACGATTACAATCGTGGTTGGTGTAAATTTAGGAATGGCTTAACAATGCATGCGGTTTCTTGTTGAAACATATACACTTGCTTTTTAAGCACATTTCTATGTTAAAGCTGCAACTATAAGCTCGTCTTTCTAGCAATTTTCCTTAATTTCGAAATGGCGTTTTCTGTGATTTATAAACGACCCAAATCGACACATGTAAAATAAAACACGCATTGACACGGTCCCATGTACTGTACCAGGGCCGTGGTTTACTACGTCCTGGGTACTTACGTAAATGTCTAGATGTGAACATCCAGGTGAATGGGGGCTATAGAACAAAACGAAGCAATTCAGACATACCTAACACCCAGTTGTGTATTCATAATGGTCAAACGGTCTCACATATCAGCTCTCTGTATTAGGCACAGGCCAGGTAAAACTTCCATCTCTCAACAAAATGGTATTTACCTGGAAACCAAACCCATTCTTGACCGTCTAACTGTCACTGCAATACTGTGTAACACGCACTGTAAAATTGTACATGATCCTATTTATTGTGATGAGGAGTTTTATAAAGTGTGCCTTATTTCATACGAGTCTTCTTGATTATTTTTAATACTGTCATATCGATAAACCAATTGTACCAAATCGCACATTTGCGCCGAGAAAATCGCACACCGGGGCGAACGATTGTTGAATAGCACAAACTCAACACATACACAGCAGGCAATAAACCAATCTGAATAAATACAGCTGTTCATTATCACGTACCGCATGTTAATACAAACCGTAGGCAATAAACTCAACACACAAACAGTAGGCAATAAACTCCCCACACAAACAGAAGGCAATAAACTCAACACACAAACAGCAGGTAATAAACAAACCACACAAGCAGTAGGCAATAAACTCAACACACAAACAGTAGGCAATAAACTCACCACACAAACAGAAGGCAATAAACTCAACACACAAACAGCAGGTAATAAACAAACCACACAAGCAGTAGGCAATAAACTCAACACACAAACAGTAGGCAATAAACTCACCACACAAACAGCAAAAAATAAACTCACCACACAAACAGCAAAAAAAACACCTTACCACACAAAGAGCAGGCAATAAAATCACCACACAAACAGCAGGCAATAAACCCACCACAAAAACAGCAGGCAATAAACTCAACACACGAACAGGCAATAAACTCACCACAAAACTCAACACACAAACAGGCAATAAACTCACCACACAAAAAGTAGGCAATAAACTCACCACACAAGCAGCAGGCAATAAACCCACCACAAAAACAGCAGGCAATAAACTCGCCACACAAACAGCAGGCAAAAAACCCACCATACAAACAGCATGCAATAAACCCACCACACAAACAGCAGGCAAAAAACCCACCATACAAACAGCAGGCAATAAAATCCCCACACAAACAGCAAAAAATCAACTCACCACAGAAACAGCAGGTAAGAAACTCACCAGACAAACAGCAGGCAATAAAATCACCCCACAAACAGCAGGCAATAAAATCCCCCCACAAACAGCAGGCAATAAAATCCCCCCACAAACAGCAGGCAATAAACCCCGATTGTTGAATAGCACAAACTCAACCCATACACAGCAGGCAATAAACCAAAAACAGAAAAAGCAGGCAATAAACTCACCTCACAAACAGTAGGTAATAAACTCACCAGACAAACAGCAGGCAATAAAATCACCACACAAACAGCAGTCAATAAACACAACACACAAACAGCAGGCAATAACCCCACCATACAAACAGCAGGCAAAAAACTCACCACACAAACAGCAGGAAACAAAATCCCCACACAAACAGCAGGCAAAAAACCCACCATACAAACAGCATGCAATAAACCCACCACACAAACAGCAGGAAATAAACTCACCACACAAAAAGTAGGCAATAAACTCACCGCACAAACAATAGTTTATAAACTCAACACACAAAAAGTAGGTAATAAACCTTAACACACAAACAGCAGTCAATAAAAACAACACACAAACAGTAGGCAATGAACCCAACACAAAACAACAGGCAATAAACTCAACACCCAAACAGCAGGTAATAAACTCACCACAAAAACAGCAGGCAATCAACTCACCACACAAACAGCAAAGAAAAAAACTCACCTCACAAACAGTAGGTAATAAACTCACCAGACAAACAGCAGGCAATAAAATCCCCCCACAAACAGCAGGCAATAACCCCACCATACAAACAGCAGGCAATAAAATCACCCCACAAACAGCAGGCAATAAAATCACCCCACAAACAGCAGGCAATAAAATCCCCCCACAAACAGCAGGCAATAACCCCACCATACAAACAGCAGGCAAAAAACTCACCACACAAACAACAAAAAAAAAACTCACCACACAAACAACAAAAAAAAAACTCACCACACAAACAGAAGGCAATAAACTCAACACCCAAACAGCAGGTAATAAACTCATCACACAAACAGCAGGTAATAGACTCACCACACAAACAGTAGACAATAAACTCACCACACAACAGCAGGCAATAAACCAAAAACAGAAAAAGCAGGCAATAAAATCACCCCACAAACAGCAGGCAATAACCCCACCATACAAACAGCAGGCAATAAACTTAACACACAAACAGCAGGCAAAAAACCCACCATACAAACAGCAGGCAATAAACCCCGATTGTTGAATAGCACAAACTCAACCCATACACAGCAGGCAATAAACCAAAAACAGAAAAAGCAGGCAATAAAATCACCCCACAAACAGCAGGCAATAAACGCAACACACAAACAGCAGGCAATAAACGCAACACACAAACAGCAGGCAATAACCCCACCATACAAACAGCAGGCAATAAAATCACCACACAAACAGTAGGAAATAAACTCACCACACAAACAGCAGGTGATAAATTGTTTTCCATGTGCACGGAAACGGCAGAGGTTGATGGGCCTTATCCAAAAGAATGTCTAATATTAGAGCTAGAGACAATGCCTACACATTCAAGGATATTGTTTAACGCGGAAATGAACGAACTTGTCCCTCGCAGTTAACAAAGAGTTGGTCAGGTCTGTTTTTGACAATTTCAATAGTTTATAAACCCACCACACAAACAGTAGGCAATGAACCCAACACAAAACAACAGGCAATAAACTCAACACACAAACAGTAGGTGATAAAACTTAACACACAAACAGCAGGCAAAAAACCCACCATACAAACAGCATGCAATAAACCCACCACACAAACAGTAGGCAATGAACCCAACACAAAACAACAGGCAATAAACTCAACACACGAACAGGCAATAAACTCACCACAAAACTCAACACACAAACAGCAGGCAATCAACTTACCACACAAACAGTAAGTAATAAACTCAAAACAAAAAAGCAGGGAATAAACTCACCACACAAACAGAAGGCAATAAACTCAACACACAACCCTAGGCAATAAACTCCCCACACAACCAGTAGGCAATAAACTCACTACACAAACAGTAGGCAATAAAATCACCACACAAACAGTAGGAAATAAACTCACCACACAAACAGTAGGAAATAAACTCACCACACAAAAAGTAGGCAATAAACTCACCACACAAGCAGCAGGCAATAAACCCACCATACAAACAGCATGCAATAAAATCACCACACAAACAGCAGTCAATAAAAACAACACACAAACAGTAGGCAATGAACCCAACACAAAACAACAGGCAATAAACTCAACACACAACCCTAGGCAATAAACTCCCCACACAAACAGAAGGCAATAAACTCACCACAAAACTCAACACACAAACAGTAGGTGATAAAACTTAACACACAAACAGCAGGCAATCAACTCACCACACAAACAGCAGTCAATAAAAACAACACACAAACAGTAGGCAATGAACCCAACACAAAACAACAGGCAATAAACTCAACACACGAACAGGCAATAAACTCACCACAAAAACAGCAGGCAATCAACTCACCACACAAACAGCAAAAAATCAACTCGCCACAGAAACAGCAGGTAAGAAACTCACCAGACAAACAGCAGGCAATAAACCCCGATTGTTGAATAGCACAAACTCAACCCATACACAGCAGGCAATAAACCAAAAACAGAAAAAGCAGGCAATAAACTCACCACACAAACAGCAGGTAATAAACTCACCACACAAACAGCAGGTAATAAATTGTTTTCCATGTGCACGGAAACGGCAGAGGTTGATGTGCCTTATCCAAAAGAATGTCTAATATTAGAGCTAGAGTCAATGCCTACACATTCAAGGATATTGTTTAACGCGGAAATGAACGAACTTGTCCCTCGCAGTTAACAAAGAGTTGGTCAGGTCTGTTTTTGACAATTTCACAGTTAACAATACACTGTCCTCGTCAACGCAGAGGTGCACTGTAGGGTCAACTCCCAACATCTTAGGAAACTGACAAATATACAGTGATGCTATGTCTAACATTAGGTGGCAAAGTGCACATTATCTCAAGTAGAAACACATCCTCTCCAGAATGTTTTGGTCTCGTCACTTTTAGCCACTTAACTCCATTTAAGATAGCATGCAGACGGGGCATTCTTGTGAGCTTGTGTTGTAAATATTGTTTTAAATACACTTAAACCGAATACCAAGTAAGTACAGTTCAATAGTTGTAGATGCGATTTGACCGTTGCAACAGATTGCCACGAAATGGATCAAGTATCCTTTGGACATAGGTAAGCTGGGTAAGTGCACTAAAGTAATGATACCGGCATACAGCAGGAATCGCACCTATTTGTCAGCACTAGATTCATTTGTCCTCCTGGTACTGGTGGTTCTAGATACTGACCTCAACTCCTGGATCACTGGTTCGAATCCCACAATACGACTGTTCGTTTGAATACTATGCATTGGGGATAGAAATGCGTCTGGTGCAAGTTGCCTGAATCTGCAAACCAGACAGAGAGTCAGCAATATTGTTTCGATGGCCAGCCACATAATAAGATAATATTGCAAAGTCGTATGTGCATGCACACAGAGCAAGGCGGTGGACTAATGGCCTATAGTAAGTATAGCAACAGAAGCTACATTGTCACATATAAAGACAATACGTTGGCCTTCCCACATGTGGCCCATATCATGGCTGCTACTACAGTCGGACTTAGCTCCTGAAAGGCTATAGACAGATCAATAGCAGCAGAGTATAGGTTGTGTAAATTGCATGACCATGGTTCCGAAAACCATTGTCTTCTGAAGTAACCACCTACCCCCGAGTTCCCGAGACATGAAGAGGCATAGTTCATCTGGATTGTCCAGTTTATCATTATAGAATACAGAAACACCGTTCCAGTTTTACAAGGAAAGTCTCCACATCTTAATGTCCTCCGTACCTTCATTGTTGAGTTCCACGTGGTGATGTAGTGGTTTGGCTGTGGATCGACCTTGAATAACTACTCGGATGGTAAAATGTAGATGTCCGAGGCGGTCTGTTAGTACACGAATGCCGTTGTTGAAAGGAAAGTGTCAACTATCTTGTGCATGGATCTACACCCAAACGCGAGGATTTATAACAATGATACCGCTCTCT